TTCCCAGAAGCTGAAGTTATTTTTTATCTTTCTTTATATCACCAGCTAGGTAGGATGCCCAGCATATAAGCACCTAATAATACTTTTGAAGATGTCCAGGAATTGTAATTGCACTTAGTAAAATACTTGAATTGATTAAAAATACAAGTCAGAGTAGAGAGTATTACTAGCAGTAAGTACTGAATGAAATTTTTATGTACTGGAGTATGTTCTTCCTTCCAAGAGGCTGGAGCCCTGCAGGTTCATCGATCAAAATGCAGAACAGGAGCCTTGGAATCAGCTAGACCAGGGGTGGGGAACCTGCAGCCCTGAGGCCATATATGTCGCTCTAGGTCCTCAAATGCAGCCCTCTGGCTGAATTCAAACTTCACAGAACAAATCCCCTTAATAAAAGGATTTGTTCTGTAAAACCTGGACTCAGTCAAAAGACTTCACCCAAGGACCTAGAAGGCCACAAGTGGCCTTGAGGCTGAAGATTCCCCACCCCTGACACCAATTCCCTTATTTTATAAATGGGCAAAGAAAGGCTCTGAGTGACCCTTCCCAGCATCACACATTAGTAACTAGAAACAGAGCCTCAGCTCTGACTTTAAAAATTCAGCTTTTTCCATTATACCACACCGTCTCTCTGCAAATGATGTGCTTGCAGTTCCAGTACACAGATATTTTATATTTATTAGGTATACCATATAGTATACATCTATATTAGTATATCATAGATATGGCATACAAATGTATATATGCTACACAGACATATTTGTCTCTATATCTTATATATAGTGTACAATAGTACAGACAATTATGTTACATATATCTTATACATTAAATATTATATACAAATTATTGTACAATTATATAATAGTATACAAATATAGTGCCTATATATGTATTCAATATTTAGTATAAACATTTTCGTGTAGAGATCTCGGGCAATTTGTCAAAGTCACATATAAATAACGAGTCATGAATTACAAAGTCATCAGCAAGTCCTCAGACACCGCCGGAGCACACAAGCTGAGAGACTAAATCCCAGCTCTGCTTCAACGTTTTAAGACTTCTTTTCTTTACCAGTAGCAGCGCACACTTCGTGTCGCACGCCCCACTTTAATTCTTCAGTTTTTTGAGATAGCCTATCTAGGCACCAGGCTCTAACCTGTCATTTCCTAAGCACGTCAGCTCGGACTCACACAAAGAACTACTACAGGCTCGCTAACCATCGCTCTTAAAGCTTTTGTCGGTCACGCGCGCGCAACAGCTCGCGCATGCGCCTCCCCCTCCGGAAGTGGCGGAAGGCATCCCAGAAGCCCTTTACCTTCATCCGGTCTCTACTCTTTCTCCTCCCTTACTTTCCCATGAGCCCACGTGTGCTGAGTTCGGAGGTGGTCTGAAGTTTGCGCGCGCTTCGCTCGCTTGGAGTTTGTCTATGCCCTCCGCCGGCCCGGAGCCGTGCGACTGACATCAGGGGCTCCCTAGGGGCCGCTCCCCCACCCCCCAGCTTCTCCGTGGGATCGGCGCGCACGGGGGGCCGCCAGGCCTCTCGCACCCCAGCCTCGCCATGTTGGTGCTGTTTGAGACGGCGGCCGGCTACGCCATCTTCAAGGTAGGCCGCTGAGAGGAGGTGCTGAGGGGGCAGTGGCGGAACCGGGCCTCGGGCGCGTGGAGCGAGCTGCAGCTTGGGGCGCGGGGGAGCCGCTCCACGAGCACGTGGTCCCCGGAGCTGCGGAGCCCCGGGCCGGGCTTGCGCGCGGGCGGAGCGGGCGAAGGGAAGGGAGCGGCCGCCCTCGTGGAGCTGCGGGCACTGTCCCCGGGCCGGAAGGGCTGGCGGACCTTCCCAGCCTCCAGAGTGGTCTGTGCCGCGTGCGGGAAACCGACCTGCCTTATAGCGTGACTTTAATGATTAGGTACCTGCTGTGTGCAGCCCCACGACCCAGCTCGTGACCCCTGCTGTGATCAGTGGCTGATTCAGCGAGGAAGGGATCAGTGCAAAGCGGAGAGAAGCCTGGGCCCAGGGAAGAGTGGCACCTGAATTGGGAGTTTTCCCCTAGTAGTATATATTTATATAGGGCTGTGTGCTAAGTGACTTGCCCCGGGGCACACAGTTAATAAGTGTATGAGGCTGGATTTGAACTTCAATCCAGGTTCCAACACCCTTATCTATCCGCTGTGCCACATTGTTTAAGCACTTTATACGAGCCAGGAACTTTACTAAGCCCTGGGGTTAATTCCATTAGATTGTGAGCTGAGAAGCAGGGACTGTCTCTTGCCTTTCTTTGTATCCACAGCGTTTAGCACAGTGCCTGGCACTTAGTAGGAGCTCCTAGTGTCAATTGACTAGACGGGGTAGAAGGGATAAACTAGCTAGCAAGATAGACGTTTACATTGCCAAATCATTAACTTATTTATTAAAATTAGGTTGGCTGAGCACGGGTTGCATAAAAAAATAGGTTGGAATTGAATTACTGAATAATTTTTAAAATTCAAGTGCACCACCTGTATGACTCCAGAGTTAGGGAGAAGAATCATTATTTGGTACATCTAAAGAGCAGCTAGGCCAATACCCTCCTTTCTCCACCTCCAAAAAAATGCACTTAGGGCAGGAGGTCATGGAGTTGTCATTTATTGAGTAACTGTAGTTGTGTCCTTTAGTTTTTATCTTAAGACTTTTGGGCAGTATATGTCGTCAGTGGTATTCTGTTCTGAGATTGTGAAGGAGCCAGGTGACTGGGGAGGGGGAATTTATAGTGGATAGAAGTGAGGGATGGAGAAGGGCAGAGTAGGTAACAGTAAGAGAATCTCTTTCCTCGATGAACAATCCTTGTTGACCTGACCATTTAGGTGTAATCTCCCATTTCAGTTAGCAGTTATGGCTGATCTCATGGGTTCATATCTTGCATCTGGTGCTTACTGCTTTGTGAATTTGGACAAATTATTTAGCCTTTAGGGGCCTCAGTTTCCTCATCTGTAAAATGGTAGGGTTGGACTCTATTCTAGCCTTTTAAATCACTGTATTCTACCTTTGACCATAGTTAAGCCTGAAAATTTGCCCTCCACAGAAGAAAATAGGGTAAAAGGATATAGTTTCCTAGGAACAAACTCGTGTCACTACTGTAAGACATCTCAGAGTACATATTTTACTTGCAGTGATTCAGTAGCATCTTAAATCATTAATTCAACAAATATTTCCTAAGTGCTTGCTGTGTGTAATTATGTTTGTCTTATTATGAGAAAATTTGTAAAGTGATTTGAGTTTTTTGGGTTGTACTTAAGCACCCCTAAGGATCTGTAATTTCTTCTGTACCTCCCCTTCTGTAACTTAGTATATATGATCAAGGCTTGTGGCCAACTTGATATGCCTCTCTGAATTTAGTCTGATTGGACAGCAAAGATAAAATCTATCATTGAGTTCATATCTGAAGCCTTTCCAGCTTGGAAGAACCTGCTGGAACTTCCACTTGGCCTTCAATGACCTGGTGTCACCTCCACCATGGGCCATAAGAGTAGGAAATTAGTGAAGATTTTGGAATGTGGGTACAAAATAAATATTAGCAAATTTACTTGAAAAATAAGATCATGTAGGGAAAAATGTGAATAATCCCATATGCCTTTATGGAAGAGCGATATAGTTTCTATTATCCTTACATAGTAAAGGGGACAACATGAGCATGTAACAGAAACCTTTGCCATAGCATTTTAAAGAAATTAATGTAATTTATCTTTATTCCAGGTTCTAAATGAGAAGAAACTCCAAGAGGTGGACAGTTTGTGGAAAGAATTTGAAACTCCAGAGAAAGCAAATAAAATGTAAGCATTCTTAATGGGAGTTTAAAAAAAAAAGGAACTTAACCAATAATTTGCTTTTCCTTAATTGTTATTACTGCTTTGCTTATTGCAGAGTTCATTTGAATTGTGAATCAGTGTTTGTGCTGTTAACTAATGTTCAGGATAGGCATAGTAATTTTGAAGAACAAGGCCTGGTGGGTAGAGAGAGGTCTGTCCTTGAGAATCAGAAGCAGTGTTGGTGGGTAGGTCGTTTAGCTTCTTAGTGGCCTAGACAATTCTCTAAAACTGTAAGTTGCTGATCTGCATCACTGGAGGAAGTTTCAAAGCCATGGTATCTGAAATAACGTATCAGGACAGAAAAAAAAATAATAGGAAATTTCCTTGAGAAAGCACAGATCTCAGTAATTACATTTTAAATATAGATTTTATTGATACTTCTTGTATTGACATTACCTAGATTTCTCCAGTATCCCTTCCTCCAGAGAGCTATCCAAAGAATTCTTTAAGACAAAACAAAACTGATCATGTAAATTAAAAAATATAATATATATGTTATAAATATATGAAATGTTTCAGACCCATGGGGCAGGCTCATCCACAGTCTCCACGAGGAGAGAAGGAAGTGAGGTGTATTTAGAACCCTTTGTGTCTGAGTTTGTTCTTTATAATTGCATTTTTTTTAATCATATTCCAAGGCTGTATACAAGTTTCTAACTTAAGTGTGTCGTGAGAACTGCCATACTCTTATCTGTTATTTTTTAATAAAACAATGTCTTTTTATTTCAGACTTAGCTACCTAGTGGAATAGCTGTTTTAATAGGTTCTCTGTCTGATCTGTAAAGTACTTAAATTATTCTCTTATCCATGATAAAACCTCTTGTTCTGCCATCTCCATGTTGATATTGGTATATTCAGATTTTGTTGTGAAGTCTTGTCAGAGCCTCTTTCAAAGTCCAAGTCAGGGTGGGGAACCTCAAGTAAAGGATAGGAAAAAAAATATTAAAACTTACATCTTGAGTTTCCTCGTCTTCTCTCCACCCCTTTTTAGGAATGGTAGAATGACTCACTTAGCTAATACTAAAATGAATGAGGAACATAAAACTACTTAATAAACGTGATAATACGTATTCCTGTCCGCATTGTAGCCAGTTGAGTTAGAAGCATAGAGACTTAACTAGGTACCAAAACAAATTTTAATCTAAATGGAATCAGGATTGAAGCATGTTAAAAGGCATGTAGAAATGATCTGATCCTACTTCCACTTTAAACTGCTTTTGTTCACACTTCTGGCTTAGGCTGTGGAGTCTAATGATGATAATAATAGCTTGTGCTTTTTATAGCCTTGTAAGTTTTGCAAAACACTTTGCATGGGTTTAATCCTCAATACAACTCTTGGGCTTTGGGAAGTACAGGTATAACCCCATTTTATAGTTGGAGAAACTAAGATTCAGAGATGAAGTGACTTGACTGAGGTTCTTCCTCTAGTAACTGTGGAGTGGTATTTGAGCCTAGATTTTACCTGATTCCAAATCCAACACTTTAAACTATCAGTTTCTTTTTTGTATTCCCGGGTTTTAGCATATTATCTGACTCTGGTTGGTGGTGCTGAGTAAATACTGACTCAGTTGAATTGTGCTTTTTGAAAAGCTTGTTGTTATTTGTATATTACTTTTTAAAGCTGCCTTCATTATTCTCTTAGAGAATACTCATAATCCTGTGAAACAGGTGGGGTAATAGAAGCTCCATTTCTGGCTTCATATCATCTTGGCCTCAGATGATCATTGTTGCAAATCATTTAATCCCTTCCTGTATGCCTGTGGCATGGAAGGAAAAAGGCTTGAGGTTCTTAAGAACCAACAGGACACCATTAGGCATCTAGGTGGTACAGTGATTAGAGCACTGGACTTGTAGTCAAGAAGACCTGAGATCATATCTGGCTTAGCCACTGTACTAGCTATGTAACTTCATTATCTGTAAAATAAAGATAATAATACCTATCTCCCAGGGTTGTTGAGAATAAAATAATATGCTTGTAAAATGCTTTGCAGACCTTAAAATGTCATGTAAATGCTATTAAGTTATTGTTGTGGATCAAAAAAAAAAAAGCCCTTTGATATCTGCAGCAGGTGCCTTCCCATTCACCAGCACAAGTCTCTGAGAAGTACATAATTTTGTATTTGTAGTTACAATAGAGATGCCCATCTATCAGAATTGTCTGTCTTAAGACTTCTGATTTGGAACCATAGAACATTCCCTTTTGTACGATTCTTTTTCCTTCACATTTGCTATTGCTCAGGGAGTTCGGGGTTCAATGGGGTAATGTCCAAATGGGCAAGCTTTTTTTTTTTTTTGCTACTAAAGTTGTACTTCAGTATCCCTTGGTATGGAGGTAACTAATTCTGGGTTCTCAAATGCTGTGTCAACAGAGCACAAATTGTGGCAGCTCCTAACAAATGGAAAGGTTTCCAGTCTGGGCTGATTCAATGGATATTCTCCAGGGAAAGTGTTTTGGTACTGGAGCCAAAGACTGCTACAGCGGAAGAAGTTATTATTTTGCATAAAGAAAAAGCTTTATTAAAAGTATATTGGGAGTCAGGGTTCACATAAACCTGAAATATGCTAACCATGAGCAAGTCACTTAGCACCTTTCTATCTTTTATCATTCTCTTTAACGTGGGAGGATAATGTATGTGAAGGATTTAGCAAACTTCAAAATTCTCTATATATAGATAACAGGTATTGGAGGGCAGGACCCACCCAAAGCTGAATTAAACTTGTGATAATGTGAGTATCTTTTTCTTTTCAGAGTAAAACTAAAACATTTTGAGAAGTTCCAGGACACAACTGAAGCATTAGCAGGTAAAAGAAAAAACCTAATCCAACTTTATTTTTGTGATCTGGTTTTTGTAATTAAAGTTTATTTGCATCAGCTAGGAGTCGGCCAGAGTTGTGTTGTCAGTGATGTACATATGTTGGAACTGACTCTTAAGTGATTTCATTCCCAATTTGTCACTATCACTGAGACAACACTGAAGTTTAATTGATGTGAGAAACAATTCACACAGAATTATCTGGATTCTAAAATGAGAAATGTATATTTAAATGTGAGAAATATATAATATATATAGTTCAATGTGATATTAAGATTGTGCAGAAACTTTTCTAAACCAAATTTTATCATGCTTTTCTATTGAGACACTGAAATTTCATGAATGACTTACCTTTAAACTTTTATCAATTCCTTCAGTCCCTCTAGTTCTTTCCAAATTGCTTGATAACTTTCTAAATAAACTCTTAAATGGGAGCTCTGCTGCATACCTTTTCTGATATGAATCACCACTTAAATGACTTCTTACTTTGGAAGTCCAAACTAGAGATAAGATGTTAAGCAATAGCTTTCAATTCCAGAATTGAAACTACTCCTGTCAGTTAATCTAACTCAGAAAAACAACTATTAAGATGTCACATGGATTAAGTGATTAGAGGTCATTAGCCATCAGTTATATAACCCATTTAAATATAGTGATTATGAATGAAATTTGCTAAAAATAATATTAGAGGCTTAAAATGCCCAGAGGTTAAAGGTAAGACCAAAAAAGCTAAAATTGTTTGCTATCAAAGAAGCTTTTAAGTTCATTCAACATTGTTTCTTGGGTCTATTGTGAAAGGGAGAAATCCATACACAAACACGTGTATACATATATACACAGATACATACATGATTAAAATTCTGTGTATGAATGCATATCATTTAAATTAAAGGAAATGTGTAAGGTACAGTGCTAGATTCTGAGCTGGAGGCAGACAAGTCGTGTAGTAGGGTATGTGTTGTGAATAGAATTCCAGTTATGAAGAGCTAGGTTTGGATCCTGCCTCTGACAGTGAGTGACCTTGGGTAAGTCAGTCAGTTTGTAAAGTCTAAAATGGAAGTGATGATACTGATAACCTTTGATATTACAGTGATCTCAGAGTTGTTACAAGGCTCAAATGAGAGGTCTTATAAGTGCTTTGCAAACTTGAAAATGTGATATAAATGTCTGTTACTCTCATTATTCAGGCTTGACTTTCACCTATTTCCTTTAGTCCACCCTTTCATCCTTAACAGTGTGTGTCATGGCTTAACCTTAGAGGGTGTGCAACCAACCGTTTGGGGCCAGATGGGTCACATTCTCTCCTTTCCTCCATAGCTAAGTTGGCCTCACATAAATTGACCACTCCCTCACTCTGCACGGAGCCACCCCAACCCCAAACTCCCTTTCAGTGGCCCTTCAGCATGGTAATAAGCTACTAGACTCCAGTATCAAAAGGGCTGTGGTTTATCACTCCTCTCTGCTCACCACCGTGTAACTGCCATTAGCCCCAGCTTTCACCAGTGCTTCTGCTTTCTAAACTAGTAGCCAGTGAGTAACCCACCCACCTACCCCCCTCCCCAAAGTCCTCTTTTCCATACATATTTTTACACACCCGGTTCATTTTTCAGCGGGGGAATGTGTAATTTAGAGGCACGGATAAGTTTGATGTGTATGACACGTTCAGTCGATTCAGTCATATCTTCCTGAGTTGAAATGTGACTTCATATACTTTCTACCTGTGTGACCCTGAGCAAATCACTAACCCTGTTTTCCTCAGTTTCCTCAAATGTAAAATGAACTGGAGAAGGCCTCCAGTATTTTTAACCAAGAAAACCCAGGTCATGAAGTATCTGAAATGACTGAACAATAACAAAGACATCCATGAAATAATGATTCCTATTAATAGAGTTTAGAAAATTAAATTATTATGAGATGTCTACGATCCCATTATGAGGAAAGCTGCAGTGTTTTGAAAATCAGAAATCAGTGCAAAAGACAAAAACTGTAAGCTTTTATTAAATATTTTCCTTATTCTAAAATTGTGAGAGCCTAATACAGAGTTTTGAGTAAAAGGGTTTACTTTACTATTATTTCATTTAATTGGACCTTTTTTTCCAAGGACATAGATTTTCCATGACATTGAAGCTTCCTGTGAGGACCATTGCTTTGCTTTTAGTAGTTTAAAGTAAATATTTTGCTTGATTTTAGGTTTTTTAAACTTCTAGATTTTTTGCCTTTTTTTTTTCCTTCCTGAAAAGCCTCCACAGCTTTGGTAGAAGGTAAACTGAGTAAGAATTTAAAGAAAGTCCTGAAGAAGATAGCTGCAAAAGAAGCCCATGAGCAGCTGGCTGTAGCTGATGCCAAACTGGGGGGTGTCATAAAGGTAAGAGGGGAGAGAATCACTGTCACTACTTGATTTCTTTACCTCATCCCACCCTCCAAAATTAAAAGTCATTCCCTATAGCAAGTGAGTATAGTCAAACTGAACAAATCCCTGCACATTGGCTGTGTCTAAAATGTTTCTCATTCTGCCCTTGTTGTCTGTCTCCTCTCTTCCAAAAAGATGAGAAACATGATTCTCTATTTGTCCACTGCAGTCATCATTGGTCATTGATGCAAGTTATTCCTTCTTTCACAGTTGTTTCCTTTACCTTATTGTAGTTCCTCTTGAGTTCACAGAAGTCTTTCCAAGTTTCTCTGAATCTCTTTTTTAATTTCTTATGGTAAAATAATCCATTGAATTTATATTCAGATTGTTCAGTTATTCCTCAGTTTTGTTCCTCTACCACCTGACAGAGCTCATTACACTGAGTACTTTTTATAATTTCTCTAGCGTAGGTTCCAAAAGTTAGCTATGCCACTCCCTGGAGAGCACTGGAATAATCCAGGGGGCAGTAGTAGCCTCGGGTGCAATTGGGGGGTATTGAATAAAAATAAGGGGGTGGTGGAAGCATATGAAGAGAAGAGAAGAAAATTTTGGAAAATCATTCTGTACATTTTTATTTGGTTGTGTAACAGTTAAAGTCATAGAGATTACATTATTTTTCGAAATAAACGTAGAAAATGCAAGTTATAACTGATCAATGGTCAAGTGTGCTGACAGATCTTAACAAGCAGATGTTGGCAGGCAAGCATGTTGTGCGTTGTCGGGAAGTCTAGCATGCGTCAGCAGGAATCTATGCTTGCAGTGACTTCTTTACAATATGATACTGTGTGATAACACGTCACAATATTGCATCATCAAACTTTCAGTGCAGGAAAAAGCCCCACAAATTTACAATAAATTATTAAATTTAAGATGCATTGTTTTTTTAAAAAATTTTTAGTTTTTTTTAATGACAGATTAAAAAAAAACTTAAAGGGTTAAAGAAAGTAGATTTCTGGGGGGCACTGAGTAAATTCATTTATTTGTTTGTTTATTCATTTATTTATTTAGGGAAGGGGGCAATAGGCCACATAAGTTTGGGAACCTCTGCTGTAGAGTTTCAGGATAGTTGTTTATATGATTTTGTTCTGACAATCCAGGTTTATAAATGTTGGTTTGTCTTGTCCTTCACATTCATTGTAAAATACAGGTTTACCTCTTTCTTAATTATAAATTATTGTGAAAATGGGGAAAGTTGTATATACTTCTTACTTATAGAAAATACAGATACTTTCATAACTCACTGTAAAACACTTAGCCTAAATATAAGTGAGCTTTATATATTCCCCCTCACCCCAAAAAATAAATGGCAAATCAAACCCTTTTCACTTTGCTTACCATATAAAAGCCAACCATTGTTGGTCTATAAAATGGCTTTAGATGATTCTTCAATCCCTCACTGAAGGGAGTGAAGCTCAAAAATGGCAAGCATTCCCCAGATTTTAGTGGTAGCTTTAAAATAGTAAAGTATCAACTTAATAAGACAAAGAATAAAGTAATATGGAATAGCTTAGTGATGGTGGGGAAAGTACCACACCTGGGCTCAGAAGTCATGGGTTGGAATCTTGGTTTTTGCGGCTTGCTACCTGTGTAACCTTAGCTGGATTATTTAAGCTTTGTGGGCCTCAATTTCCTCATCTGAAAAATGAGAAGCTTGGTCCAGATGACCTCTGAAATTACTTCCAGCTCAAAATAAATGATTTTATTAGGCCCATTAGCATACTCTACATTTTATTTGTTTGTTTGTTTTTTGTTTTTGCTAGGCAGTGGGGTTAAGTGACTTGCCCAGGGTCACACAGCTAGTAAGTGTTATGTGTCTGAGGCTGCATTTGAACTCAGGTCCTCCTGACTCTAGGGCCAGTGCTGTATCCACTGCGCCACCTAGCTGCCCCAGTACCCATTATATTTCACATTATGTCTACAACCAGAATTATTTTTGTGTGGATTAATTAAAGATAGATTTAGAGAACACACAGAACTCTAATTTTGCTTTCTGAATTAGTCACTTTTATTCATGTTCACCCTTTAGGGATAATATTCTCTCCCAATGAACACATGGATTATCTTTATATACAGTCTGAGATAATGTTTTTATTTCCCATTTTCAGCATTCCATGTCTGTGTGTTTGTGTTTCTTTACCCACAGGCTTAATGTCCAAGGTCAGAACTGTAGGTGGCATACTTGCCCCTGATAATCATGTAACAGACAAGCTGTCTTGAGGCAGTTATGCCACCTGGTGGTTGGCTCATAGAACTAATGACAAATAGACATAAAATTTAATAGGAAAGAATTAGATGGAGAGTGGGTGCCCTTTGATTGTAGAGTGGTTAAACTATTTGTAGTACATGAATGAAATATAATGTAATTGCACTGTAAGAAATGATAGAATCAAAGAATTCAGAAAAAACCTGGGAGGACATTAAAAGAACCAGTACAGCATGAAAGGGCATTTAAGTGCCAACTATGCTCTAGGTATTGCTCTAAGGGCTAGCGAAACAAATGCGGAAAGCAAGACACAGCCTGCATTCTAATAGAGACTGACAAACCTAGGGAGTGGTGGTCAGGGGAGTTAGAAGGATGATGAGCTGATTCCTAGGTCAGTCAATTTGACATTTCCTGAGAAGAGAAATGGAAAGTTCCTATTAAAAAGCAGTAGATCTCAGTGCAAAGTCTGCTTTATTAGCATTTGTCTCTTCCTTTCTTTGCTCATTTTTAATTAATGGTCTCTTGGGAGGATTTGTTCTGCAAAAATGGTTTTTAAAGAGGTATAGTGGTTTGCAGATAAACTCCTGAGTAACCAAGGGTATTGGAAAACTTCCTGTACTTTTGTTTGTGGGTTTAAGAACCAGTTAGCACTGCTAGCCCCTAACTTGATGCTGTTCGAAAGGATCAGAAGTTGGGCGAGTACCACTGTCCCTAGAGTTTTGGCATGTGACCACACCCAGATAGAAGAACCTGACTTTGTGACTCTCACAGAGTAGACAGTTTCCTATTTGCTTCAGCAACTGTCTGTAGGTGGCTGTGGGGGTATGCTTACTATGGATTTACCTAATCATAATCAGTTTGAAGATACCATTCTACTGACAAAGAGGTACATCTTCGCTGAGCTTGGTGTATTTCATTGAGTCCTGGTTATGTGACCTTGCCATAATGGACTCAGCATCCCACAGGACTGGACAGAACAGAACACACACTTTCCACAAAGCTGTGCACCCCACATCTACAATACTCCTGAGCCCAGGAGTTCTAAAGAAAACATAGTTAGGGCCACCACATATACAAGCAGGGGAAAGAGTATAGGAAACAAACAGAGACTGTAGACCAGTCTTGAGCTGAAGATTTGGGAACTCTGGATCCAGGAAGTCGGCTCCTTGTGGCACAGAGCACGAACTTAAGATCTGATGTGAAGTAAAGTTCCTGACAGCTGGTGCTGTTCCATTTTGGTGTTATTGTTAGGGACCTTTGGCTAAATCTCAACTTATACAGCAGGGATAAAAAATAAAAACAAGCCAGATGTGGAGAGATTATCTTTCTGCTCCTCTCGGCATCTTGCCTCCTCACTTCCCAAGTCTCAGAAACTAGGCCCTTCAGTTCACATTTCTAAGATGGCTGATGGGTGGGACACATCCACTGTAACCCTTCCAGTCAGAACCATAACTAGGCTGCCCCGCTGGCAGGGTATCACACGAAGAAAGTATTAGCCTCTCACAAAATGAAGTAAAAACATAAATACCTCTTGGATCCTGAGACTCTTATTGTTTTTTGATTTTGGTTTTGGTTTTTTGGTGAGGCAATTGGGGTTAAGTGACTTGTGTGTCTGAGGTCAGATTTGAACTCAGGTCCTCACTGTGTCCACTGCGCCACCTAGCTGTCCCCCTTGAGACTCTTTTTGACACCATTTTGAATTGGCCAGATGAGATTCACATGAATAAGATTCTGGGAGTTTTAATGGACTCCAGCACAACAAATTGTTCTTGGCCCTAGAAGGCAGAACTAGGGGCAGCCTATGACAGTGGCCACAATAATGTAAAGGAAAACAATGGTGAAAGATACAAAAATTCCAGTCAATGCAGTAACCAATCTTCAGAGGAATTAATGGTGAAGAATGCTGTCAAGTGGTAGACACCTATTAATGTGGAAGAAGGAGGTAAGAATAGAGTACCTACTATGTGGCAGGCACTGCTAAGCAGTTTTACAAATATCGCCTTATTTAATCCTCACAGCAACCTTGCAAGGTAGATACTATTATCCTCATTTCACAGTTGGGGAAACTTAAAAGTAACTAAACTGAAACTTAACAAAGTTGGGTTAAGTGACTTGCCCAGTGTTACACAGCTAGCAGTGTCTGAAGCCTGATTCCATCTCATGTCTAATTGAGTCCTGGCCTTCCTGAATGCAGAAGTTTTTTTATATTTTCAAATAAAAATAGGTAGACTTAGTAGTACCTATATAAAGAAAAAGTAACAATTTGCCAATGAAATTAAGCATATAGTAGAAACATTTATTTGGAGACCTCAAGTACTTAGAATACAGATTATAAATGATTAAAAACCCTGAGCATTGACACATGGCCTGTGTATTCTTATTTTGCCTACTAGTCCTGCAAGCTTGATTTGTTGCTTTCTGGGCCCATAGTAATAGAAATAGAAGAGCTACTAGAGACAGAGAAACAGCAACAAGAAGTGACAGCTGACAGGAAGGAAACAGAAAAACTAAAATGCATACACAAGACCTGAAAATGAAGGAGTGGATTTAGTTACAGGGGCAACCACTCCTACATGTTAAAGGTAGTCCCTAAGGATATTATTGTAGTCTGACACTGTATAGTAGTTATGATGTTGACTTGTCAAGAAAAGGTTAAACTATGTCCAGTATGCTCCAAGACAGTAGCCATAGAAGTACCTATGAAGTTCATGCATGTGCATCTTACGTATCTTGGGTAGATGCTACAAATGGATGAGCTTGGTTCGAGAATTCAGCAGGAAAATGCAGAGTTCGTTAAGCCTCTGCCCCAAGGATGTACAGACACCAAGGACCAAACAGGCAGGCCAGGCCTACGTGTTAAGAGTGGTTTTTACATTTTTAAATACACAGAACTTTATTTTAAAATATAAAAACAGTTCTTAGCTTCCTGGCTTTAAGGAAAAATGCTGGAGGCCAACACATTTGCTGTAGTTTACCTGCCCCAACTGTACTCAAAACAAAGGCCCATATTTTGAGGGAGGTGAAGTGTTGCCCTGTGGCTGTAAGTTATGATGGCATATTTTAGGCTCCAAAAAAATTAAGTTAAAGATTATCCATAGGGCATTGGAGAAGTACATAGTTGATACCAGCATTCTACAATATATTTCAAATGAAATTATGAAGAAGCATGATAAAGGATATCAAGGAAATGTACGAGTAAAAAGAAATGGCTCATACGTAGCTAGAGTGAGTTAATCAGTGGGTAACCTGTGTGCTCCATTGATATCCCTGGGAATTTAGAAGAACTCAAGGCTTTCCAGCAAGTTGTACAAACTCAAACCCTTTTGAAAACTTAGGGTAAAGACATGGATAAGTGTAGATGGGTTTAATGATGTGTATCAATGAGGAAAAATCCATATCAATTAGGTCGTAGATCTAATACAGAGTACCCCAAAAGTCTTATTGAAGTGTAAGCTTAACACTCGGATGTTTTCTCATTTCCAAAGCCCTGAAAAAATACATTTTAGAAAAAAATTTTATCTAAAACTGAGTAAGTTGTGCCTATAGAAATAAACTTCATTTATTGGGGAAATTGAATTAAGTAAAATACTTCAATATCCGATTTTTTTTAAAAAATGAAATGTTTCTGTAATGAAGCAAGCAGCATCCATAAAATCCACCAAAATTTCCATCTACTTGTTTCAATTAAACTTGATGTGTTGTTCCATTATTAATAACATTTAATTTACAGTTTCTCGCTGCATATACATTTGAACTACGTTGGAGTTAATTTGACTTGTGGTTAGCATAAGAACCTAACAAACAACCATTATTAAACATTCTTAATGTAAAAATGAATTCCAGCTGACTTTAAAAAGAAGTTTTCAACAGCTCGTTTACAAATCGGCAGCTAAGTGATGTGGTGGATGGAGTGCTGGACTTGGAGTCAAGAAGACGCTCATCTTTGTGAGTTCAAATCTGGCCTCAGACACTTGACAGTTGTGTGACCCTGGGCAAGTCACTTAACCCTATTTGCCTCCATTTCCTTATCTGTAAAATGTGCTGGAGAAGGAAATAGGAAACCACTCCAGTCTCTTTGCCAAGAAAACCCCGAAGGGGTCACAGAGGGTTAGACATGACTGAAAAATAACTGAACAACAAGCTGATCTGCCTACATATAATGATGAATAATCATTCGGTAAACATTTATTAACTACCAATATGCATCAGACTCTGTATAGCCTTGTATATTTCTGTGCATATTGGTGTGCACCAGTGATGAGGATTATTTACCAGTGATCTCTTTGTGTGCTATGAAATAGTATTGAAAAATTTGCCATATTGTATGATTAATTTTTCATGATTTTCTTCCTGTAGGACAAACTGAACCTCAGTTGTATCCATAGTCCTACTATAACTGAACTAATGAGAGGAATCCGCTCGCAGATAGAAGGATTAATCACCGGCCTTCCATCTCGGGAAATGGCCGCTATGTGTCTAGGATTGGCGCACAGGTGAGTTTTGTTTGTTCTTAGGCATCCCGTAACGCCAATAACTGCTTTATAATGTAATTCCTAATCTAAAGACTAATGTGCCCCCCCTTTAAAAAAATACAAACCATGAATTGTGTATGTATTAGGTAAACGGGCATTTGGTTTTCCTTTGCTATTCCTGCCTCTGAATCTCACTCAGAGTCTTTCTTTCACTTAATCTTTATTTTCTCCTTTATTGGCTCATATCCCTGCTAAAGAGTGACAAACTATTAAGAATTGAGAGCAATTTTTAATGTAGTCCAATCTTTTACCCCAGGAGAAATTTCTCCTCAACATCTGTAACAGGTAGTTAGCCAACTTAAGTTGCTCTTTTGTCCTTCCTCAGTTTACTTTGTATCGTATTTTACGGTGTAGATGTTGAATGTCTGCAGCAGAATGCAGATTCCTTAAGTGCAGGGAATATTTTGTTCTTTATCTTTGCATTTGCTACTTACACATAGTAATGAATGAATCTTTGTTGAATTGAGTTCAGATTTGTATATTTGATTACTGATTAGAAGCCTAAGTTACCTATTAAATGGATCCTTAAGCACTATAATTCTGTCATTATCAAATTGATTTTTTAATGTATATTTCATAGAAATGCTGTATGTACATATTAGTATCATTTTTGCCTGCCTTGGTAATAGAAACAGCACATTTTTAAAACACCTCGTTACTGACACTGTGAGTGGGTCTCAGTAAAAAATGCAAAAGGTGGCAGAATATAGCACGAACTATGGGCATACTTTCTCTTGTCTTATAGGTGTTGTTTTATATTAATAAATCCTGGCAATAGGATTACAAGGAAATGCTTTTTCTGGAGAATAATTACTTCATTGGTTTTCACAGCCTCTCTCGGTACAAGCTGAAATTTAGTGCTGATAAAGTGGATACCATGATTGTTCAGGCAATCTGTAAGTAAAGTATTTATGCAGAGCTTTTTTTCTTGGTTACTCTATTCCATGCAATGTGATAATAGTGGAAAGAGCTCGTGTATGGAGGCCATGAAATCTGGTTTCTATTCCTGGCTCTGCCACAGATTAGATTTGTGATCTTGACAAGTTAATAGACCTCAGCTCCCTCATGTATGAAATGAGGGGATTATACTCTAGTGTTCCAGATACAAATGTTTAATTCACTTCTTTTACTTAGAATGTTCTGTAATAGGTCATTTTCATAATATTTTTTGATTGGCTTTTTTAATTTCCCATATTTTGTTGTCAGTGATGGAATTTTGTTGAATGAAAACCAATGATTTGACATTCGTCACTACCACTGAGACAACAGGGAAAATAACAATATGTTGGCCCTCTGCTTGTTTTTTGGGTTCTTTGTTGTTGGTTTGTGGTTTTTTTGTTTGGTTGGTTTTGGTAGGCAGTGGGGTTAAGTGATTTGCCCAGCATCACACGGCTAGTAAATGTTATATGTCTGAGGTGGATTTGAACTCGGGTCCTCCTGAGTACAGGGCCAGTGCTCTATCCACTGCACCACCTAGCTGCACTTGCCCTCTGCTTGTCAAAGAGAAGACGTATCCTCTTAGGAGTTTTTGGTTGTATTGTGATGCGCCAGAGAATAGTACAGTGTTCCATTCTCTTTCTGAGTATACAAGGAGACTTGTATTTTTAGTTGGGAGGTTTTAATCTGTTTTGAAAAAGTTCTAAGACTTCAATTTTGCTTTTCCTAGCAATTTGTTTGCAGCTTGTTTTTGCTTAAGTTACAGTAATGTGGGCTTATATAATTTCATAGTGCCAATAATGCTAATGTGAACACGTTTTCTTTAGAAAATAAGGAAGAAAGGATGAAAGTAATGCTTGGATAAAGAACTTGAAGAGGGGAAATAAAAATATAGCTGTTTCAGTAATAAAAAAAGAACTTATTTGATCTTACATTTCATACATACTTCATCCTGATTTATAAAAGCTATGGTTCAGCAAATGTGATATTAGGCTTTTTAAATAGCAATAAAAAGGGGAGAGAATAGAATTAATATACTAGAGTGAGTTTGGCAATATGAGGTACAGGAAAGTTGTTCTACATAGTTAAGATGACACGTGAGAAGTTTCTCAAGCCCACAATAGTAATACTGATGAAGAAGCCAAAGAATAGGTCGTTTTCTGGAGGAATTTAATACTTCTTAATGTTAGATACTTGTAAATACTGACTTTGAATAAAAATACCCATTAAAACAAATATTGTTAATATTAAGGTCACTTGACATACAAAAAAATATTTTTATGGTTATTTTGCAATTTTAGTAATACACTATAAACTACTGCTGTTAATATTCTAGAAAATATCTCTACCCACTTTTTTTTAAACCTGACTTAAATTTTTTTCAGCAGTCACCTGCCTTCTCACCCATCTTTTGTGCCTCAGAAGTTAGGATGAGGTTGCCACAAGTAATAAGCAGTGACATGCAAAACAAAATACTTATCTACAGATCCACTTAGTGTGGAGCACAGTCAGGAATGCTTTCAGGGAGAGAGAATTCTTAGCTAGAGTAGATGAAGGAACTTGGATAAGATCTAAGGTTAGAGTCTTTGGTTGATAAACAGATCTACCTAGTTTATCTGTCAAGTGTTTTGGTTTGTTCTTATGAAGTAGATTTTAGTGTTCTGTCGAGGCTGTTTTCTCTGACGATACTGAGAATGGTTTTCTGTGATTGGGAAAGACAAGGCTTTAGCAAAATGAACCAGCCTGAAGATTTCAAGAGTAATTTATAATATTTTAGTGGTTATATTTATACCTTTTAAAAATTGATAGCTTTTGTTTTTATATAACCTTCACTTCCCACTATATCCCTCCCCACTCCAGAAGACCCATTTCTTACAACAAAGAGGGGAAATGGTTTAGCAAAAGTGAATTACCAATTGTCTCCTAGCTCTGCAAACCAATATCATTTAATGGCATCAATATATTTCTTTCTTTTCTTTTTTTAACCTGTTACAGCTTTATTAGATGACCTGGATAAAGAACTGAATAACTACATTATGCGATGTAGAGAATGGTATGGTTGGCATTTCCCTGAATTGGGAAAAATCATTACAGATAACTTAACTTACTGCAAATGTTTGCGGAAAGTTGGTGAGTGAATTATTTGTTACTTATCCTTTTGGGCAGGAAGAGCAGTCATTAAAGTTTAACCATTGATTCCAGTAGTATTCACTGGCGTTTAAAAATCTGTGATATTTCTAAATGTCATGTTGGAGGGGGGGCTGGGAATTACTCTGACTTGGGCTTTGATTTGGGGATCATTTTAATGAACTGTGATTTTATCATCACTCCTCCACAACAAAGCATGTCTGTTGATTCATGTGCTCAGTTTGCAATTTACAGAGGCCTTCAAATTGTTTAATAAGGAAGCAAGGGGAGGGTTGTTTATGATACATGGAAGTTACTTGTTTGAGTTTGACTCTTTGTATGGTTTCATGGTGCATTAATGTGTTACAATAGAATATCCTGGCACCACTTGGCTGACTGCAACACATTCTGAGCTTTTATCTCTTGGAAGTTTACAGGTCTGCTTTTGCCAAAACAAACGGTTCTCTTTTGCTTACTGTGTGCCATCTTATACTCAGAGAGAAAGTTTTGCCCTTGTTACCTAGAATGTATGTTTTTAAAATAAATACAAAACTAAAAAATCTCAAGTATATCTGAAGCTACATTTTAAGAGGGAAAACCACAGAACCACATTTGTTCACTGATTTCTTGTTTTGTACTGTCATGTGGATCATTCTCCATTTTTATGTTTAACCTTTTTGATGTAATATTGTTTGCTCATTGATTCACCAGTCACTGATTTTTATCTTCCCTTCCCCCAGGAGACAGGCAGAACTTTGCTGCTTCAGATCTTTCTGAAATTTTGTCAGAGGAAGTTGAAGCTGAAGTGAAAGCAGCTGCAGAGATTTCTATGGGAACTGAAGTTTCTGAGGAAGACATAAACAATATCTTACACCTCTGTAACCAGGTAAAGCAGTTCTAGTGAGTGCTCAGCCAGGAAGTTATCAGTCACAACAATGATGGCAGTGATGATTTTATATTGATTCTCACCTGATATATAAATATGAGGGTTTACAGTCACTACCTCATCTGATGCCATCTTACATTGCATGTTTGGAAAATAACGTAATTATGAAAAGGCCTGTATACTTCTAATGATTTGTTGGGAGTATCACCAGGGAAATTTCAAATTCCTCTCCTAACAAATTTTTTATATAAGCTGTTACCATTTTTCCCCTTTGTGGTCTCCAAAGGATGTCCAGAGAATGATCAAAAGGCAAATTAGAGGGAGAGAGAGAAGAAAAAGTAAGGGAATCGTGTACCCCATGATCTAGATAATCAGTGTTAGAATAGTGGAGTGATTGGGATTGGGAGGTGGGGGGCAGGGAGAGCACTATAGAACTGTGGGGAAAGTTCTGGATTCTGAGCCAGAACTTTTAAATCCCAGGTCTTGTACTGTATGACTTTGTGGCGAAAATCACATAACCTCTCTTGGTTACTAATTCTTCTGTAAAAAGATCGTGGTCTTACGACACTCCTCTGAATAACAGTTCTTTGGTTATACATTATACAATAATCATTTCCCTCGAGGATCTATATAGCGGTCTTAATTTAGAAGAAAATATTGTTCCTGAAGTAGAAAGTTTAATTTGAGAGAGTTAATACCAAACAACTTGGTAACAATATAATAGGAAGCTGACTATATGAGTGCTTTAAAGATCTGGATTTAGCTTAGCTTTAGTTAATAGATTTCAAATCCAGGATGCTTACATTAGGTCCAAACTTCCCAAATCACAAAGGTATTTCACAATTAAACCTAAATTGTTTCCCCTTTCTTCTCTGCCACTTGCTTGGACTTTTCTTATCCTACCAATATTGGGCCTACTTGCCACTTGATGTATGACCACCCTGGGTCGTATTAGTTCTGTGTCTTGTTTGTATGCCTCAGACCAGGGAATATTTTTGTTTCTCTTTTTTCTTTTTGTCCAGGCCTTGTGATTTTATTGGTTTGAAGAATTTTTTGGATGAAATATCATATCGGTATTGAAGACTAAGTGTATTCCAGTTTACAGAACACTGATAGGTCACACAGCTGGTACATGGCAGAGGCAGGGCCAGAATCCAAGGCCAGTTGTATGCTTCATTGCTTGTCTCTTCTTCAAGGAGGAGTTGTTGAATATGTGTAACATTTTACAAAGCAAGAGAAATAGGGCAAACTTCTCTATAAAATACTGACCTTTGGGACTAAAGCAGATGTATATGCATACATACATAATAAACTTATATGTATGTAGATATTACTTCATTATGGATGTATATCTGTAATATATACCATGACTAGTTAGATTTTAAATTTAAGGCTAGAGACTGTCTATTCCCAGACACCATTCCTTTTGTAATCTCTGTTTTTAATCTTTAGCTCTACTGGAATAGTTTGTTAGAACACATTTAACCTTTTTTTTCTTTTTTATGTACACTTTTTTGTACTAGGTGATTGAGATCTCAGAGTATCGAAACCAACTGTACGAGTATCTCCAAAACAGGATGATGGCTATAGCCCCCAATGTGACAGTCATGGTCGGTGAGCTAGTTGGAGCTAGGCTTATCTCTCATGCAGGTAAGTCATTGTCATTTGAATTTTTTATGGCTTTAGCCATAAGCATCCAGGAGCTTTCTTAAGAGCTCTAACTTACAGTGAGATGCAAGAAAAGCTACTGAACAGTTTAAAATAAAACTTAAGTCCTATGGCTATTTGAGACTGAGGGCTGAAGTGATCAATGAGGATCTTAATTGGTTTGCCTGACTACGTTTCAGTAATGGGGGCAACTCTAGTCACTACCTCTTCTGAGACACTTCTGACCCTTTGTTAGATTGGATTAGAAGCTTGTGACATGATTCCTACTTTGGTTGTTGAATGGCCCTGGGAGGTAGACTTGAACCTGGCATTAACACTAACCACCTGGTAAAATTAAAAATATAATGTTCATCTTGGCATCCATTGGCATTAAATTATTGGAATACAAAAGGACTTCACTGTTAGCCAGTGATTACCTATGCCATTCCCACAACATCAAACTCAAGTATGGTGGTATAGTGAGGTCCCAGTGTAGTAACTAAAAGGGGATAATTAGTATTCCTTTTTTTAATTAGCCTCCCTCTTTTATTTATTTATTTATTTTCAAATTGCAGCTTTTCTCCTCGCCCCAAGACAGTGCAATCTCATATAGGCTCTATATATACATTCATATTAAGCCTATTTTCACATTAGTCATGTTGTAAAGAATTAAAACCAGTGGGAGAAACCACAAGAAAGAAGAAACAAAAAAGAGAGAGAGAGGAAATAATATGCTTAGATCTGCATTCAGACTCCATAATGCTTTTTCTGGATGCGCATAGCATTTTCCGTCATGAGTCTTTTGGAGTTGTCTTATTTCTTGCATCACTGAGAAGAGATAAGTTTATCAGAGTTAGTCGTCGCACGATATGGCCCTTACTGTGTACAGTGTTCTGTCCTGGTTCTGCTCTCTTCACTCAGCATCAGTTCATATAAGGTTTTTCTGAAGTCTGCCTGCTCATGATTTGTTATAGCACAGTCCTATTCCATTACATTCGTATACCACAACTCGGTCAGCTGTTCCCCGTTTGATGGGCATCCCCTCAATTTCCAATTCATTGCCACCACAAAACGAGCTGCTATAAATATTTTTGTGCATGCAGGTCCTTTTCTCCTTTGTATGATCTCTTTAGGATACAGACGTAGAAGTGGTATTGCTGGGTCAAAGTGTATGCACAGTTTTACAGCCTTTTGGGCATAGTTCCAAATTGCTCTCCAGAATGGTTGCATCAGTTCACAACTCCGCTATTTTCCTGTGTTGTCATGGTAGCCAGTCTAATAGGTGTTATATGGCACCTCAGAGTTGTTTTGATTTACATTTCTCTAATCAATAGTGATTTAGAACAGTTTTTCATATGACTATAGATAACTGTTACCATTAGTTAAAATTGTTCATTCAAACACATTCTTTTTCTCTTCCTCTTGTTTTTGTATAAGCTAAACTTAATGCTGCTAGTAAATGATTTGGTATTTTACGTCTTATTTTTAAACAACCGTGATACAAAATATTTATATGGCCTTCAGTGATTTGACCATTCACACTTTAGCTCAAGATTTCACACAATTTGCATGTTTAACTCTATTTACAATTTGTAACCTTCTTCTATCCTAGGTTCCCTTTTGAATTTGGCAAAGCATGCAGCTTCCACTGTGCAGATACTAGGAGCTGAGAAGGCCCTCTTTAGAGCCTTGAAGACGAGACGGGATACCCCTAAATATGGCCTAATTTATCATGCTTCCCTTGTGGGCCAAAGCACCCCCAAAAACAAAGGAAAAGTGAGTTGCTATTTGTTGCTCAGATATCTCGTTTCTCAAGAAGAAAAATTCACGTGAATTTCTTTCCTTCCAAGAAATTTCTCGCTCCATGTGTTTGCCATCATATAACAAGCATCTTTATCTCAGCTGTCGCCTCCTTTTCAGTGTAAGTGGAGAGGAGATAGGAACTTTTTACAAGATGAGAGATATATGTTAGGAGAGTTTCTGAGGGGATAAAAACTCAAATATAATTAGCTATTTTTTCTTGACCAGTAGTAGGTGAAGACACCTTATTGTGAAAGAGCTTGTAAGGCACCATTTTGTTATGCTGAATCCAGTGCTTTTTTTTCAGAATCAGCAGATAATAAAGGGGATCTTTGATTCTCTGCATCTTTTAGTTAATCATGGACTAGTAGAGATGTGGTCATCACTTGTGAAAGTCTTTGTTTCCTAATATTCTAATTCAGGAAGTCTTTGATCCATATATGGGTGACTCGTGCACATTTGGTATAGATAGAAGAGAAGGCATATGTGTCCATAGTGTCTTTGTTTTAGTATTACTGAGGTCCACAATGCCTATGTAGTTGATGCAGTTGGATCAGTCTCTTTTCTCTCTCTTTCACTCTTTAGTAACATTTCTACAGTATCTCTTCCTGGGTGCACATAAGGATAACATCAGGATAGTAGGAAAAAGTGTGACATCTGCATGGTGCTAATCATTTAAATTAGAGTAATGAAGGAATTTGCCAGGGGAGGAGTGAGTAGACTGCCAGGTTGGTGCACAAGAAAGAGTACTAGACAAGGAGTTTGGGGCAAGAGTTTAAATCCTGACTCCAACACTGTCTGTAATCTTAGGCACAAAGTGGTTGGGGAATGGAGGATGCTTTGTAAACCTTAAAGTTCCATAGGAATCTGGGTGAATTTTAGAGGATGAGTTGGAGAAAGGTGTAGGGCAGAGACAGACTGTTGAGGCAGAAACAAAAAGGGTCAAGCAAAGGGAGCAGTCAGAGAGGTAGACTAGCCAGGAGAATCTGATTCAGTGATAAGAGGTTTAGAGAAGGCAAAAAAAATGAGACAGGGGGGAAAAAAAGCCAATGTTTTCAGTGACCTTTAAGAAAGTAGTTTCAGTAGAATGGAGTCAAATCAATTTCGGGGATTGGGAAGAGTGGTTGATGGGAAAGGAGGGACGTGGATATAGGCATATTTTTTACAATTGATTATAGTATGAAGAGGAGTAGAAATATGGGATGTTAGCTAGAGGTTCTAAGAGGATCAAGGGAAGGCTGTTTTAGGATTAAAGAAAACTTAGGAAATTTGTGGGCAAAGGAGGAATGAGGTATAGAAAGTTGGTGTGTGTATAGAGCACTCATTGGTGGTTATAGAACAGATTTGTAGTGGTGGAATCCACAGGGTTATGACTTTTCTCCCAGTGATGCTTAATCTCAGCAGAAGTAGAGAAAATAGATATGGAGATGCTGACTAGTAAGGATCTTCACAAGGCAAGAGCAGTGGAAGGATGGGGAAGAGAGCAAGGGTTGCTGGGACAGTCTTAACTAGTTTAACACTCAAGGGGGTAGAGTAGGCCCATAGGGTCCATGTTGAGGAAAGGGCGCTAAAGGTTGTATTAGGGTGGAGAGTGTGACAGACGCTGAAGTTTTAAAAGTTCTGGATCTTTGTAATTGTGAGAGATAATAGAGCCGTCCATTGGGAGAATGGAGTAAAGTGGGAAAAGACGGCTGAATAACTATGTCATCAGACTACTACTATAAGCAGATTCAAAAACGAGTATTCAAGCCCCTGCTGGGTAATGTCAGAACATGGGTTAGACTAGTTGTTAGTCACAGAGGTTTGAGAAATGACAAGAAGAATGGTGGAGAGGGCAAAGTAACTATTCTCTTGGTGTGTCAAATGAATGTCCTTATCGTCTGTATCTCTTCCAGATTTCTCGAATGTTGGCAGCCAAGACTGCTTTGGCTATCCGTTATGATGCTTTTGGAGAGGATTCTAGTGCTGAGATGGGAATTGAGAACAGAGCCAAATTAGAAGCTCGGCTGAGGCATTTGGAAGAGAGAGGGGTAAGAGCTATGTTCTTGCTAACATTTGAACAACAAAATAGGAAGATTTCCAGGAGGAGAGGGTAATTTGCAGTTTTAGTACATTTTAATTAAAAACAGAATTAAAGCTCTAAAAATAGGGCAAAGAGCAAAATAGTATTTTTGTGAATTTTAAATTGCTTGTACTTGTACAGATCACTCTGCTTCTTTCCTGTGCTTTACTAAAGCTTGTTACTAGTTCACAATTTTAAGAAGTGAGTGGTATTTTTTATGTTTAGCGTGCTCAATCATGTTGTTCTTTGTGTATGTGTTTAAATAGTAAGAAACCGGGAGCAGTTTACCAACTGGAGTCATCCTGGCATTCTGCTCTGGGTCTAGAAGAGTTTCTTCTTTACTATATTATGTCTAATAAAACCAAGTACATGGTATAGTGAAGAGTACCTGACAGAGTCAGGAACTCGTGGCTTCAAATTCTCTTTGACATTTGCTAACAAGTGACTCCAGCAGAAGATGGGTGGGGAGAGTATTTATTAAGTGCCTACTTTGTGTTGTGCCCAGCACTTTGCTAAGCACTTTACAGCTATTATATCACAAACCTGAGAGGTGCTATTATTATCCCCATTTTACATCTAAGGAAACTGAGGCAGTCAGGGGTTACCTGAGTTACCCAGGGTCACATAGCTAGTAAGTATCTGGGGCCAGATTTGACCTCTGGTCTTCATGACTCCAGGCCCCCGGTACCCTATTTACTGAACTACCTTGTTGCCATAGAGAAATAACCTTTCTGAGTTTTACTTTCCTCATCTGTAGAATGGGGGTGATAATACCTCTGCTACCTACCACACATGGTTATTGCAAGTTGTAAATGCACTAATGTCTATTAATTGCTTTGTAAATCATAAAGAAGTCTATAAATGACAGTCATTCAGTGTTTTGAAAAAATTAACCTAGTTTTCCTGCGTCCCTTGTGGACTTTTTTTGTGTGATTGGACACATCTGGACTATAGAGTATGTATGTTCAGAGATAATATGGATGAGTGAAATTGTAAGAAACTGAATGGATAGTTTGATTGTGGGTGACTGTTCTTTTGCTTTTCAGATAAGAAAAATCAGTGGCACAGGAAAGGCATTAGCAAAAACAGAAAAGTATCTCCATAAAAGGTAGGTAGGCAGGTGCTCATCGTGTCTGGGGAGGGCTCAGCTGTACCTCACTGAAAGCTTACCTGTCACAAGGCACATCTGCTTCTTGTCAGTCTGGAAGGAAATCTTAAGATGATTTATGCCATTGTGGCTCCTAAATGGGGGAACATTGATTCAGCTAGCTCACCACTATTCAAGTGTTAGATTTGCTTGAAAGGTTCTTTTTAGTATTTAACTCATATACCTCCCAAAATATTTCAGATGCAAGTCATATCACACTGTAATGTTAAAACCTGCATTATGCCACCTTTTACAGAATTCTAAAAATCTTCCAGTTAAAAAGATTCAAATATCTGTAGAGCTTGATGGTATTACTTGACTCTCTTTCAGTGAAATAAAAACTTATGATCCGTCTGGTGACTCAACTCTTCCAACATTGTCTAAGAAACGCAAGTTTCAAGAAGCATCAGAAGAACAAGATGATGAACCGAAGGTTGAAGTGAAAGCAAAAAAAGCCAAGATTGTCGAAGTTAAAGGTTGTTTTGAACTTCCTCTTTTGTCTAATCTGTACTTGAGTGTCTTTGTTAGTTACCGATTGATGATCTTGGAGAGGTATTTGGTTTTGAAAAGACTAATAGGCATTTCCTCTGGACATTTCAAAGAGTGTTACGTCTTTGAGGGCTGATGGTGTTAAACTAGCAAATAGGTCATCTTTTAAAATATCTTTGCTAATATTAGGAAGGGAGGGGAACCTTCTGGTCATCTCCTAACTATATCTCCATATTTAGAAAAGAACAATTGATCCTCAGCCATAATGAAGGTGTCATTAAATATTTATATATGGTTGCTTTTATGTTCGGATCACTTCTCACTATTGGTAAAATTAAATTGCCAGGGTTGAGATGGTTTCCATTTGTTATTTATTGTTAATACTACTTCTAGTCCATGTTCCCTTTGAAGTATAAAGTTAATTTTAGTCACTGTCTTCTCTGAAATTCTGTCTAAGCGTGTCAGTTTTAAAAAAAAGCCTCACATTCCCACATCAGTGAAGTCTCCAATATACAACATACTAGTCATTTACAGATGAAGGAATGAAGAGGTAAGCAAGTACATGGGTGAAACTAATATGAAGGCTGAATGTCAGACTCCAGATTTTGAATACTAAACTTGGGCAGTTCGTAATCCTTGATGCTTTTTTGAGCCATTTACACAGCCTGTAGCACCAGGAAAGAAATATGAAGGCCGAGTAGAAGGGGAGAGAACAGGTTAAGTTATCAGAAAGTTAAGTTTGGTGAGATAATACCAATTTAGACATGTTCAACATTGGGATTGGATCACCTTGCAGCATAGTAAGGGCTCACTACAGATTTTCAAGAAGGAGGTAGATATCTTGTCTATTAATGCTGTTGTAAAGCAGATTTCAGTGAGAGGAACAGATTGGACTGGAATCACATGACACATCTGTGCTTCGTTTGATGCTTTATGTAGGAAAATTTAGTATGCTGTTGATAAATTACTGTTGGTTTTTTGTTTGTTTTGTTTTACTATTTGAGCCAGTTGCGAGGAAATAAAAGCATTTAAGCATCTCTCTTCTGGGATTTAGAAACTTGTATAAGTACAGAAGCAAAACCATAAAACCCCATTTTCTCTGCTAGGGAAGGAAATGACTGAGCATCATTCTTTGTGGTAGTTACTATGCCTGTGAAATACTAATTAGTACCCATATCTCAGTTCTTGGAATACAGGATTTGGTCTGTTACTACCAGAACCTTAGTGCATAACAAGACAAAGTGTGTTGAAATTCCTGATGTCCTTCAGGGAATCAGCTAAGTTAAAAAAATACAAGACTTCGTTATAATCCAGGGAACTTAAATAAAATTGTAGTGTTCTAGGCTTGGTTCAGTTGATGAGATCTAGGTGCTTGTGATGTCAGGGTTTAAAGTTAGGACCGTATAAAGCCTATCCAATTTTTAATGGAGAAGCTCTGAGAGTCATAAACTATCCCTTATCTTAGACCACTGTCTTTAAGTGTGTGCCCCAGAGGGGTGAGAGTGGATCTTCAATCCATCACCAGCACTGAAAACAGAGTCCTATTGAGTGCTGTGAGCACAAAAAGCTCATCTTCATTACTATCTCTCACAAGGCCTTAAGAGCTGCTTCATGTTGCTCTCTGTAAAATGAAAAAAGTTGATGGTTTGTTTAGGTCTCTGATACTTCTAGCATCCTAGGGTTCACATGGAAAAAGTAAAGCAATGTCCTTTGGAAATAGATGCTCTTTTTTTGGTTGCAAGGAGCCTTAAGGCATTGAGGTCCACTGTGACAGGAAGAATTCTGACAGTCTTCAAACCATCACTTCATCTCTCGTGGCCTCATTGAAAAGAGAAAGTTGAACTACATGATCTCTTAAGTTTCCTAAATCCAGTATTCCGTATTTTTTCATTCTTTACAGAGGAAGAAGAAGAAGTAGAAATTGATTCTGCAAAGAAGAAAAAGAAAAAGGATAAAAAGGAAAAAAAGAAGAAAATAAAAGAAGAAACTCCTTCAGAAGAAGAGCCATCCACTAGTATAGTCATTGAAGTACGATTCAAGTTTAATTACTGCATTTTTTGTGGTTGTGGGAACAAGTCTATATTTAAATCATTATACAGTGGTACCATAAGCAGCCACTTAAGAAATATTAATCTTTTTGATGAGTAGGCAAAATCATTTACAACTTGATTTCCTCATGGTACTTATATTTGCAAAATTCCATTACTTTGTGTCTGATGATTTTACTGAGAGTTTGGAATAGAATCAGGGTTGGTTTGTATAACCAGTGAGCTAAGAGTGGCTTTTACATTTTTTAATGCAATAAATTATTTAAAAATGTGAAAACCATTCTTAGCTCAGGGGCCATACAAAAGGAGGTGGTCGGGCAAATTTTGAGCTGTAGTTTGCCAACTCCCTGAAATATGAGAGAAGAAGGGGAGGTTTTTGGTTGAGAGAGCTTGCGGTGTCAGGTTTTCAGATTTTAATAAAGATCTTAAAAGGTTCATTTATGTGGATTTTTTTTAGTTGTTGCTAGCATAAATTGGTACCGGTTTTCAGAGCTCATTAAAAAATTCTCTATCCTGTTTTCATTCTTTTCAGAGCCAGAAAAAAAGAAGAAAAAGAAAAAAAAGAAAGAAACTGTGGACGTGTGACGTGGAACAGCTTAAAGGTTTTGATAACTTGAATAGATTCTCCTTCCAATTCAGCTTGGCGCATGCCATAGATGGTCTTTGAAATATCAGGACAAGAGGACAAAACGTATCTTCTATGGCTTTCAGTCTTGAACCGGACACTTAATTTTTGACATTTTCTCTCATTAAAAAAAAAAATCCCCTTCCAATTCCTAGAGTCTTTGATATACAAGTAAAGATATTTTCTTTGTATCATGAGTCACTTGTATGTTTTCATACCTCCAGCATTGGAATCATCGGTCACTGGCCTAATTTCATAATAGCATAGCATTTTAGAGTCATTTGGTCCAATTCCCCTTGTTTTGCAGATGAGAACATTAAGGCTCAGAGTGTCAGGGCTTATAGCCTGGAGCCCAGTCCTTTTCTAATAGTCCATGATGCTCTTTGATCCTTGGCATTTACTTTTTTGTTACTTTGAAGGTTAATTTGCTCTTTGTTCGGCTGCCCTCTCTGTGCCATTCAGGGTGGTATGGTTGTTAAGGATAAAGGTGAGAGCAGTCACATCAAAGGGAAGGTAAGAAAAGGCTAGAAAAAATTGTTCCAGGTGTTTCCAACACCCTCTGCAGCTTCTCCAACGTAACTGCTCCTCAGTATCCTTTGCTAGATCCCCATCATGCCTGCCAGCTGTTTGTATCCCAAGGCCCTGGGCAGGACCCTCTTCTCTTTTGACTATACGCTCTTTGGGTGATTTCATTGTCTCCAAAGCAGGTGACTCACATGAGCTCTGCTATTCCAACACCAGCCTTCTGTTGGACATTTTGAACTAGATGTTTTGTAGGGACCTCAAATTCAACTTGCCTGAAACAATTGCTCTTTCCTCCAAACCCCATCTCTTCCAGACTTCCTGATTTCTGCCTAGAGGATTGCTATCCTTTTGATTATATATGTTTGAAACCTCTGAATCATTATCTTTAACTCCTCACTGTCACTCCACAAAACAGTTGCCGAGTCCCATCAGTTTGACAGCATCTCTTACAACTATCACCTCACCATTCACACTCATAGCATTCACTGTATCACTTTTATCAAGCCCTTCTCACCCCTCGCCTATGCTGCTGGAATAACCTCCTGGTTGGACTTCCTCAAATCTCTTGTACTCTCCAATGCACAGTCTACATAGGTGCCAAAGTGATTTTACTGATGCACACAGGTCTGACCAAGTTACGCTGCCTTGAGGGGCTCCCTGTTATCTCTATTAACAGATAAATTCTCTTTTTGGATATTTAAAAGTCTTCCTAAGTAATCCATCTCTAACTTTCTTACCTGCCTCATACATCACTCTCCTTCATATGATAGGCCAGATTGACCTTGCTTTTCCTTGTGAAGTGTTCAACTATCTCTCTGCTTTTGGAATATACTCCCTCATTACCTCTGCCTCTTGGACTCTCTGGGCTCAGCTCAAGTACTGCTTTATAAATGAAGCCTTTTCTATTTTGCTAGTGGCTTACCTCCATGATTTTTTAAAAGCTTTATTATCAAGCATTTTTTGTCCCACCTACCTCTCAAATCCCCTACCCCCTGAGAGAAGGGAAAAGATACATCTAGATCCAAATTAGTGCCAATAATAAATCCTGTGAAGTGGTCACATACTCAAATTCCCACTTTGAAGTTATAGTTATGTAAAATAAGATAGTTGGTTCTAGCCCAATGGAAATATGCAGTGCAAATTCAAGTAATGCAACCACTTCATGAGAGTTCATTATTCACAATATGGACCTGGCTGTATGAAACCCTCATAATAGGCATATTCAAGCAAAAACAGATTTATTCACTATGTTGAAAAATGTGTCTCTGAAAAAGAGTTTATAACCTCTGTCATGAGGTAGGCATCATTTTTGTTGGTCCTCTAGAATCATGGTTAATTATTGAATCAATCGTTTCTTAGGGGGTTTTTTGTTCAGTTTTATAATACTGCTTTGTATGTAAACTGTTATGATGAGTCATTTCAAAAAACAAGTCTTCCAAGTTTTCTTTAAAACCTTCACTTAAAGCATAATAGTATTCCATTGCATTCTTCCAACATAATGTGTTCAGCCATCCCTCAATTGAGTAGCACCACCTACCTTCCGGTTCTTTACTGCTATAAAAAAAAGAGCTTTGATAAATATTTTTGTACATAGGACTTTTTCTTTGAATTCTTTAGAGTATAGACCTAGTCATGATAAAGGTCAATGTACAGTTTTAGTCACTATTTTGGTCTTAGTTACAAATTGCTTTCCCAAATGGCTGAGCCGATTGTTAACTCCACCAGTAATAGCATATCAATTTGCCTGTCATTTATCATCTTTCTTTTTTTTTCTTCTTTTTTGATCAGCTTTGCCAATCTGATGGCTGTGAGGTAGAACCTCAGTTACTTTAATTTGCAATTCTGTAATAATGAGTGTTTTTGGAGGATTTTTTTCAGGGTTCAGATTTTCATTGAACTTAATGGTATCTTTTGACAATTTGTCAGTTGGGGAATGGCTTGTAAATTTTAACCAGTTCGTTCTATCTTGGACATGAGAAGTTGTATTGGCATTTTTTTTCTTAGTTAACTGTTTCCAGTCTAATTTTAATTATATGGCATTTGTGCAAATTCAAATTTTCAATTTTCTCTTCCATGATCCTTGGTTCCTTCATAATTATATAACTCCCTTCCCAAGGCTACTAAGAATCACAGGATTAAAAAGCAAGGTGCTCCTGGCTTCAAGTTTGCAGACAAACTTAACACAGCAAGCCAGAAAGACATGCTGGACAAAACTCCATTTTGCATGACAGAAGCAAAAGCTCTTTCTAAGGGTGGTGGGAATGAATGCCTTGCTGTTGATTATGAGCCAAAGCTGGGAGGGCAGGAGCACACTGATAGAGATGGAGAGTAGCAGACAAGATGCAAATCAGAGACAGGTTAATAGGGATGTTGAGGCGAGACATCTGGGGCTGGTTCAAACTCTTTACTTCCCCTTGTTCCTTATCAGGACTTAGCCCACGGAAGCTGCCATCAGTTTTTCTGGTAGCTTGTCCAGTTAGTTCCTTCTCATTTCTTAGAGGATGGGAAAGAAAAGGGGATATGGAAGGAGAGGGAAAAAAGACCCATTTATAACCCTTGAGCTGTTATAGCATGTAGTTTGGAGTCTGTTCCGTTCAATAGTCAGTCCTGTCTTCTGTACTAAACCACAGCTTGTTTTTCTGTGATTTGTGTCCAAGATTTGAACATTGGATTTGAGAATGACAGAACGGAGCTCATCCCTAGAAGAGTCAGAAGACTTTTTTTTTTAAGTCTTTGTATTCTTAAAGGCTAGTACAGTGGCTGGCATGATAGGGGCTTAAATGCTTCCTGGATAAGATGGATGAGCATTCTGAAATCCACTCCCTAAGTGAGTGGTAGGGTATAACTTGTTAATTGACCCTATCGCACGAAGGTTATCTGTATTCTCTCTAAAGTCCTTTCTCTTGTGCTTCTTCATGAGAGTCTGAATTCTCAGACAGCCTGTCAGCAAGCAGATTATACTCTGGAAGATCCCCCTAAGCTCCAGTGATGGATTTTTAAAAAATATTATAATAGGACCAATTTAGCTGAGGTTAGAGAGAAATTTTCTACCAGTATAGCCACAGGATGGTTAATTTACTTTGATCACTTCAACCTATGAAGAATTTTCCTGAAAGGTTTGGCAGAATTGCCACCTGAATCAGAAGATGCCAAACGTTGAAATGTTGAAATTACATTTATTTGGATCAAGTTTTATGAGCAGTTCTTAATTTTAAAATAGGTGAGTTTTTAATTTTTATGTCTTTCCAAATTGTTTTCCATTTCCATGTTGTCCCTCATACTTTCTATTCTTTACTATTACCACTCAACACCTTCCATTTATACCTGTGGTACTGTAAGACACAGTTGAAAAAAAAGAGTAGGTGTCAGAGGTGACTCCTTTGAAATATTAATAGAACCAAGCCCTTTGCAATGACAGTGACAGCGTTTTTTAATGCAGTTTAAAATCATTGTAGTGGAAAATTCTTGTAGAAAAGAATAAGATAAAAATTAAATAGTAAATACCCTTTCATTTATGGAAGGTCAATTTCTGGCAATCAGCCATCAGAAGAGACTGAGTGGATCAAATCAAAAGCCTCAGTGGCCCAAAGTATTTGACTTTAATGGAAAGGCAGACCCATACCTAAGTTTGTGTAAAGTAAGAGCGATGTTGGCATCTGAATTTCACGAATGAAAACCAAACTAAGTTAATTATTGCTTGTGTGTGACGAGCTTTTCTGTGGGTACCTCATCCTCCATAAAGAAAGAATTGTGGGGGCAGCTAGGTGGCAGAGTGGATAGAACACAGGCCTTGGAGTCAGGAGGACCTGAGTTCAAATCCGGCCTCAGACCAAACACATGACACTTATTAGCTGTGTGACCCTGGGCAAGTCACTTAAACCCCAAGTGCCTAAAAATTGAAAAAAAAAAAGATTGCCTGTTTCTGCTTGTATAGTTTAATGTTAAGGACATTGCATTTGGAGTCAAAGGACCTTCTCAGGGGCTTACAGATCTGCCTATAGCTAGAAGAAACAGCAGTCTTGAAAAAGGTAGGAGGGGTGGGGGTATAGTTGACTGCAAACGACATTAATTAGCAGTGTGGTATAGTGACTAGAAAAGTGAACATTCTCCAATTTTATAAAGAGCTTCCAAGAATAGAGGTGATATTTCCACTTGCACTCTGCCCTTATCACACCTGGTCTGGAGTACTGCATCCAGTCCTGGGTGCTATAGTTTAAGGATACTGGTCATCTGGAGAGTGTCCAAAAGAGTTTTTTCCAACCTTAAGTCACTGTATACATTCTAGCTATTGTGAGGTGAAAGGGACATTCCAGGCATGGGGGACATCCTAATATGTACATAGCTAGGGGATGCATTGGATGCTTCCTAGTTGTGTGACCCCAGGCAAATTACTTAGCCACCATTTTCCTTGGTTTCCTCATCTATAAAGGGGGGAAAGTAATAGCACTGATCTCACAAATGAGACAGTAATTATAAAGTGCTTAGCACAATGCCTGGCATATAGCCAGCATCAATGTTAATAGTAATTGTTATCCTTGTTATTTAGGAGGGACGGCAAGTAATCTTTGATGTAGATCCCGTTACTAAGTAGCTACCTCAAGGTGATCAAAAACAGAAACCTTTCATGGTGCTGGGAACAGAGTAGGTGTCCTATCAGTTGGGGACACAGTAA